ATAAAAGATAGATAGATAGATAGATAAGCGGATAAAGGATAATGGATGTATGTATAGTCTGTCTGTGTGTAACTTATAAACCTTGGAAAAATAAACCTTGCAAAAGAATAGTCTTGCACAGCTTTTTCCTTGTTGCCACTCTGAATGAATGAGGAATCTTCTTATCGCTTCACTTTTGCCTCTTCCAATATGGCGGCCACGTCGATGTACGCTTAATGATTCGATCATAGACGTATTTATTGTCCTTTTTGTGTAAAGCTGCGACCACTCCAGACACAAAACAAGAAGTAATTACTTTGAGTGGGTCCAGCGGGGGTCCGGCGAAGATGAGACAGACAAAGCTCTCTAGCAGCGGACACATCTGCTGCTGCTGCTCGGCGAGTTATTTACTTCCGTCCTGCCGGAAGAAGAAAAACACCAGAAGAGAAACTCGATGCGAGAGAAGAGACGCAAAGAGACTCGACAAGAACCAATAAACAAAGGTTTAATACGCCTCACCTCTTTGGGGTTTCTCACAGATGTATCGTGAGCTGAGCTCTGCACACATTTGAGCCCAGTTTTTCACGCGGACCGGTATGACTGCGACACAACCCTTCTGTGCGACTTTGTTTAGTGTCCGGGTGGAAACTTTTCTCATCATATGATGAATGATCGTACAGTTTCTGACTTACCGCCCTACATCCTCCAACAATTATCAAGGAAATTAATAAATTAAACTTTCACTTTATTTGGAGAAGTACACAGCATTGTATCTAAAAGGATAGTTAAAAAGTTATGAAGATTGTGGAATTAAAGTAAATAGATTTTGACATAATGAATGGCGTCTAAAAACTCAGATGGCTTCAATCCTTTCTTTAAAATGGTCATCATATTTGGTTTGCTGCCCCCACTTTGATTTTTAGTAAAGTTGGAGGTATTCACTTCCTGTTAAGATGTTCATTCAACCTTTTCTTTTAGTCCCATTCGAGCCACCGGGACTCATTTGCAAGAGAGACCTGATTTTAACAGTGATGACAACAGTAGATAATCATAAAAAGCATACAAACTGTGACTTTGGCATTCCTAAATTACCTGTTAAATGATCTACTTTTCACCAGGTGTTACTGGAAACTAGCATACAAACATTCAGTGCTCACTATGTTTCGTTTTGGAACAACAGTCGTTTTACACAGAGTCAAGTCTGCGTTCATGGAGAAATGGATGGAGAAGCAAATATGGTCGCTCTCTTATTTAATGGGTGAAAAGGGAAATCTGTTTAAAAATGAAGATTTCATTAATCGAACCTGTACCAAAATAGACTATGATGTAATTAAAAATATACCAAATGCATTTTTTTCAGTTAATAACGAACAAATATGAAATTAAACCAACAATTAGTTTACCAAGTATCAATCTCAATGGACTAAATTTAATACACAAAAGATGCATCAATAATTTTTAAGACAACATTTAATAAAAACAATATATACTGGACTGGTAAGAAGGAATTTTCATGAGTTTTACAATAAGAAGGAAAAAAAATAAAAATATTGGGTTTTTCTCTTTTGCCTAAATATAAAGAATTACATTTCAAAACTAAATATTTATCCTTCAAACAAGTTTATCAGAAATTGATTTAAAATTGAATGTGATATAACGAACATGAAGCAACAGAACATCTGTTTTATTTCTGTGATTCTTTGAACATGTTGTGGAAAATCTTTCACGATCTTCTGTTCATAAAATGAGCATGGTTCCTTTTCCCCTCAGAATGTCTTTATATGGATATGTATCTAAAAATAAAAAGATTACTATATTAATAACTATCATAATCTTTAAATTTTATATACATAAATGCCAATGTGGCAGATCTAAACATTATGGTCTTTATTCAAACAAGAACTCCAGATGTTAAAGGCTGTTAATGGTCTATATCTGGACCTGGACCTATATCTGGACCTGGACCTATACCTGGACCTGGACCTATATCTGGACCTGGACCTATACCTGGACCTATACCTGGACCTGGACCTATACCTGGACCTATATCTGGACCTGGACCTATATCTGGACCTATACCTGGACCTATACCTGGACCTGGACCTATACCTGGACCTGGACCTATATCTGGACCTGGACCTATACCTGGACCT